TCAACCATATTCATTTTGATTTCAACCACGCCTCGCTTTAATTCAAAGTTTTGATCGAGATGTTTCAAGTCTAGATGGACTAATGCAACGGTTGCCATTCTCAGGGAAGCCTCAAGGTCATGCCGTATTTTGATGCCGTTTGACTGCTCCCTATCACAAGGTCCCCTCTGACATACCTCCTGAGATAACGTTGTCGGCACTGGTCAATTCTGGCCGGTCACTCTTGCTCAGGGCTTGGCTTTCCCACTCGGACAGATCGTTGGTGGAGCCTGGGTCCGGAGCTGGGTGAAAAAATGAGAACAGACTTGATCTCTATTCTAATGTTACTATCCTCTTTTCCTGGAACTCATCTAAGCCATTGCTGTGGCAGACATAACACTTCTTGACACTACATTGCCAGAGAACTTACAACAGTTACTTGTTTTCATTTACAGTGTGGTGGTACACGTGAAAATTATATGGATATGACTATCTTAGAAACTTGCTCAAGATTGAAACCAATGTTTTAGATTCGTATTGTTCTGGATTAAGGAATCTTCAGGCCAATTCTGCAACAATGTGGTTATAGTTAGCATTTGTGTTGATGTATTCCTCAGTTTGACATCCTCAGAAAAATGGACTTAATGTCATGAAAATGGTTGATGGTTCTTAATGATTTATATTAAGCAAGATTCTGTTGACCACTACCAGCAAGGGACTCCGAAATCGGAGCCGTATGGTTTATATGTGTGGCCGGGGTCTCCGAACTCAGACAAAGGAAACAGGGCCCTGTAACAAAAGACCGTACTCCGAACAAAAGACCAGGCTGTTAGGCATTACCGGCATTTTTCACTCTCAAAAGTGGTGATAATCCAGAATTATTTTGAAACCATATACCAGGGTTTGGGGTATTTAGAGCAAGCGGATTACCACCCGGGACAAAAGCTCTCCACCACCCCAGCGATGAGCCACACAGCACCGCTGCATGCTAATCTGGCCCCTATTGAAAAGAGGTCAGCAGTGCACTGAGCCAGGTTTGTGNGCAACCATATTCATTTTGATTTCAACCACGCCTTGCTTTAATTCAAAATCAATTTTGATTGAGTTTCCAAGTCCAGCTGGACTAATGCAACCGTTGCCATTCTCAGGGAAGTCTCAAGGTCATGCTGTACTTTGATGCCGTTTGACTGCTCCCTATCACAAGGTCCCCTCTGACATACCTCCTGAGATAACGTTGTCGGCACTGGTCAATTCTGGCCGGTCACTCTTGCTCAGGGCTTGGCTTTCCCACTCGGACAGATCGTTGGTGGAGCCCGGGTCCGGAGCTGGGTGAAAAAATGAGGACAAACTTCATCTCTATTCTAGTGTTACTATCCTCTTTTCCTGGAACTCATCTAAGCCATTGCTGTGGTAGACATAATACTGCTCGGACTCTGCCTTATTTTGACTGTGGGCTGTGGTATGCCCTGAATGGAGGGCTTTGTCTAGCGGCAGGCCCCATTGAACCAGCAGCTGCATGGTGAATAGACTGTATGTGTGGTATGCACTAATCCTCACACAATGCTGCGGCAGTAGCAGTCCTCCCTAGCAAAGGGGTTAAACATTCCTTCTTTTTGTTCACAGTGTGGTGGTACACGTGAAAATTATATGGATATGACTATCCTAGAAACTTGCTCAAGATTGAAACCAATGTTTTAGATTCATATTGTTCTGGATTCAGACTGTGAAAGGTTTAATTCCACATAAGGAGTCTTAAGGCCAATTCTGCAACAATGTGGTTATAGTTAGCATTTGTGTTGATGTATTCCTCAGTTTGACATCCTCAGAAAAATGGACTTAATGTCATGAAAATGGTTGATGGTTCTTAACGATTTATATTAAGCAAGATTCTGTTAAAGGCCTTGAACCAAGACATGGCTCTGGCGATTTGTGACTTATGACATTGTGTCTTGACTACGATGACTATAGCCGGCAAGGAGCTCATATTCTTTTGAAGAAGCCTTTCTCATTCTTGCTGTGTAATTGAGCTGAGTGGTTAACTTTCATCATCAGGTATTGGACGTCTTGTGCCTTATGCTAATTGCTATGCAAGCTTTGACCTCGACTATGAGAAAAGTATGAGACCTCAGCAGGACGTGACTTAAATCCGCCAACATGTTGGACTTTTCTCACCTTGTTCTGAGGCGGCGGCACCCTCTCCGACCTCGGCTGCCTCAAATGCTGTCCCCCTTACGCTGAATACCTTGACTGGGTCCAAGCTACGGATGGTCGATACTGCATTACCTGAGTAAAATAAAACATTTTTTTTAAATTCTGGACAGCCGGATATGTGGCCAACAGCCTCAATATTGAATGCACATGAGGATACTTGTGAGCTGATCAACAAAGACTCCTCCAAAAATAAAGAGGTAAAACAAGACTTTTTAGATAACTAAAATCTGCCGGGACTGTTTGATGTTGTTTGATTGTTTTTGGAGTGTTCTGTCAACAAGATTGGAGCTTAATTAACAACAATCTTGAGGAGACTTTGAAGCCTGAATTTCCTGTCTGATGTTGAGTCGAAAGACTGTGGTTGAGTGGGCGTTGCTTCGATAATACGCAAAATTGTACCTGCGTAGATGGTTCTGACGAATGTGTCGGGTCCTTCGATTCCGATGATGTCAGAAATCGGCGACACATCCAGCTTTGCTGCAAGCCTCGGAATCAAATTCTAGTGAATGAAAACAATGACTCTGTTATAAATTCAAATTTGGAAACTCTTCTTTTTTTTTTACCAAAACAGGCCTCAGAACGGTTTGAGACGGACCGTTCTGCAGGTTTTGATGCTCTACAGCAAAAACAAGACACAAAATTGAACGATATTTCCATGAAATATTACACCGTCAATTTGGTAATACAGAGCACTTCAAGGTGTGCACAAGGCTGGAATCCACAGGCTTAGGTCTAATGGAATCAAAGTTGCAATTTTAAGCACTGGAGGCTTTTTACGACCCATGATAGCTAAAGTCCCTTCTGTAATGTTCTCAGATACGTAGTTTTCCATTTTCAAGGTTTGTCTAGGTTCGTCTTCGTCACCTTGCCAAACGCTGTCGCTCCTGAGGCAATGTGGGTGAAGCTGAACTGTTTCTGGGTGGCAACCAGCAGTGGCGTGAGAGCTTCCGGAAGGAAACCTTTGTAAGCCTCGTTGTCTGCGACCATGATCTTGGCGATGCCTGAAACTTTGGACAACTCCTCAACAACCTGAGACCAGAAAAACTTGTAAAATTACCGATAAATCTTTGACAGAACTTTGCACTATTTCTTTTCCATTTGATGTCCAGAGTTGGGAGCAATTTCTAAGTAATTTTCGATGACTGATCTATAGCAATTAGTCAACAGAGCTAAGCTTTGGAGATGCTAGAAGAGTCTTTTTCAAAGGATTTGTTTATGTCTGGATACCTATGATAAACATGTGAATAATTTATTTGTTCTTTCTTCCAGAAGGTGCCGCCGATGCATGCACATTTACCTGCACTTTTTTTGAGTCGGATGCTTATGAATGGGCACACATTATGTGGTGGGTTGCGTTAAGAGAAATCTGTCACTTTTTGCTTGGCAAAATACTGCCTCTCTTGATCACCCAGCAACCCGAAGTCTAACAGAAAAGACTTAAACCACAGTTGGGCATGATCAGTGCATCTGTGTGATCGAGCTGTGCTATTGGTTGATTCAGTGTGACGTCTGTGAATCCTTAAGCTATCAGTTGATCACCTTTTTGTCTTTTTACGACTGTGAGAGATGTTTTGATCTGAAGTCGGGCCAGAGATTTTGTACAGGATCAAACAAATCCACTGATCGCGCCCAATACCGTGCATCTATACCAATCAATAACTTCTACCTTGCCACAACCTGTTCCAGCGACCAGGCACGACACCTCCCCTCCAATCTTGGAGGCAGCGGTCAGTGTATTCAGGGTGATGGGCGTGACCGATTCATTGTTGTGCTCAACGATCACCAGCGTGCTGTTGTAGCGGCTCAGCGACGCAAACTTTGAACGAGAAGAAAAAGAGATAAAGACTTATGTTGTATGTGCTTACTGCAGGGAAGAGGATGTGACATATACATGTACAATTTCCGTCATGAAGTGTCAACATGGTTGAAGTGACCCGTGGACAGCTATGGCCAAAAATAGCAATTATTAACAAAACCAGTTAAACATTGAATGGAATAGTTTGACATCCAATAGTTTAAAAAAACAAGAATGGCATCCTTTCTTGAGCCCAAACCTTTGCCATGGGACAGATTAAATGATATCAAGTGGGGTGGGGGGACGACGGCCAACAGGCTTGAATAGGTTGGTAAAATTATTAGGCCCTATTAAAAGTTGTAGTACATGATGCAAATTTGGCCTACGGTATATTCATGATTCAATCAATCATGTCATGCTCATCAGAATTCAGGCAGTAACGAGTAGGCCTACTAACGTTAGGGCCTGCTTTTGAGGGCCTAGGCCCAAGTTGTAGTTAACATGCTGCCTTAGGCATGGGCCTAGGCACAGTCGTACTAATTAATGTCAACACAAGGTCAACACGTGTCAACACATGATAGTAACGTCAACACACCGTCAGCACACCCAAATCACATTCTAAGTTAACAGAAATACAATTCGATAGCAATTTAATTCCTAAAATACAATTTGGCTGAAAACAGTGGGCGACATTTGGGGGAAAAAGCTGTTTTATTTCACGAAAATAACACCCTTCGCACAGCCACGAAAGACGGTAGACATGTTGCCTCTCGGTCAGACGGACCATACCATTACGCTACAAGGGGTCACCTTTATACAGTAAACCATGGTACGGTCCAAACACTGTGAGAAGGCAAGATGGCGGCAAATGGCGCTGCTCAAAGACAATATTTTCGCATGAAAAAACTCCCTTGAAAAGTAGTAAAATATAAACTCCATTAAATAGAAATTATTCCTAAGCGTATACTTTACAGTTCGATATGTCTGTTTTCAATGCATTTTGTAAGTGTTGGCGGTGTGTTGATGTTACTATCAATGTGTTGACGCTTGTTGACGGTGTGGTGACGCTTATTAGTACGACCCCCAAGGCAGGCTGAAACTCAGTGAAAGTTAAGCCAACATTTCTTTACAATAATACAAGTTAAATGTGGTTCTAAACAACTTACCGATTGACAAATTCTGCGTGAAGAATTCCTTGCAATCAAACCAAACATGGTTATCAAAATATAGAGATAAATTCGCGAGAACAATTCTTGTAAATGGTATTTTTACTTTAAGTTGACGCAACTATAAGGCCAAAGATGCACACGTTATGTCACGACCGAACGTACTCTACAGCGCCCTCTCTAGACTAGTACTAATATTTTCAGAAAGTGCAAGGTGGTGATAACAGAGGGCGCATGACGGTTACAGCCGTTGTACTTAATGTAGTATGGTTAACCAGAAGCGCAAATACTGTATATAGGCTGGGTTAACTCGACAATATAAAACGAAACCGGTGACCATGTTGAAGTCATTTTGCACTGGCAGTAACTGTCGCCCGTGCAAAGCACAAGACAATGTTTTTTATGAATTCCGGGCTAGTTATCAGGGGTCCCCAAGTGATGTGCTTGTGGTTGCAAGTGATAACGTGATCCCGGCTCTGTATTGACTCGAGATTCAGTCACCTCATGTAGAAATAACAGTTGCCAGGAGTATTAATTTTCTTTTCCACAGAGTTTTCTTAAACTGAGAAAATTTAAAAGAAACCTGGTCCGTGCAAGCAAAATTCAAAGTAAAAATCAATACAACTTTCACCACCAACGTAACGCACTTGAAAAAATTCATTGTTCGGTGGAATATGGTCCGAATGCATATCAAACGTACGCTCCACTCATCCTTACCGAAACTAATGTGATTGATATCTAAAGTATTTTACGCTCAGACAACTAAATCACATAAACTACACTGGCAAAATATCATTAGTTAGGTTCCTTCGCCCAAAGTGAACAGTGTCGCGCCGACATCCACGAAGGACGCAGTGTAAAATGTCTCTTTAAAGCTAAGCCTAAGAACGATCTCAGTTGAGGAGTTTTACGGCATGTTCGCTGATAACGCTGAAGATGGGAAAATAGGCCCTCGCCTATTCAGCCATCAAGCGTAGGCGCGCCGGACCCCCCATAACAAGGAAGCAGCTTCTCTTTATGGCTGACGGTACCCCATGCAAGTTGGTCGATTGAGAAGACGTTAGCCCAATCATTGGCGGTAAGCTTTCTTTCACCTATTCCCTGGTCACGCCCTAGCCTGACTTCACTTCACGGGCAACAGCCAAAACCCCACCACAGACATCTCCCCCAGACAATCAGGCTCCTACTCTGGCCGAGGTACACCTTGTCATCAGGAAACTCAAGCCATGGAGGGGTTGCAGGCACTGACGGCATACCTCCAGAACTGCTCACGTACGCAGAGGCCCCAATTAACCAGCACGGCCCTCTATGCATGATCTCTTCCTCAAAATTTGACCCTCGGGCAGATCGAGTCCCGCCTGCCTGGCATTACGTCTCTTTATACAAAGGAAAGGGTCCTAAAAACAGCGCAGCAGCCGCAGGTTTAGTCGCACTGCCCTATCAGTCCCTGGAAAATTATTTACAGCCACATCCTGCGCTCTCGCCTGGAACGCTTGCTAACCCAATACCATCGCCTCCAGCAGTCTGGCCTCATAAGATGCCAATCGACCATGGACGCAGTGCTGGCCCTTCGACTCTTATTGGAGATACACCTCCACATTTTGGGGACACCAAGGCAGCCTTGTAATTCTACTAGGTAAATTGGGAAGCCCTATGCAGGCTCTGAAGACAACGGCGAAGTTGCCTGATTCTTGCTCCATCTGATCCAGGTGCTGCACAAGGGCAGCTCCACCTGCGTGTTGGTGAAGACTTCTTGACTTGAAGGCTCTTCTTTTCTATCTCCAGAGTCAGTCAGGGTTACACGCCCTTGCACCATCTCTGTGCCATCGACTGGATCCTATACAAGTCGCTGCAAGTCTGACCAGTCTGAGGCAAGTCCTTCACAGACCTGGACTGCGTCGATACTGCCCTGTTTCTAGGGAAAAATGAACACACCAGTGTCTCACTCAAGAGATATGGGGAAGAAGCTGGAACGACGGATGTGCATGCATCCTGGGCCAACACGAAGATCCAGAACTGTACCGGCATCTGTCCCCCAATTGGCCTCAGCAGCTACCGTTATGAGCCAGGCTGTCGAAACCACAGAGAAGTTCAGGTACCTCGGTTGTGGCACCGACTCCTCCAGCTATTCCTCGCCCTGCGTCCTCAGAGGTATTGGTCTCGCCTCATCAACATCTGGCAAGGTGGACCGGGTGTGGAGGAACATAATGCCTTAAACTCTCAACCAAACTGAAGATTAAACACGACATACATCCCATGCGTCCTACTGCGTAGGACGCATGGTAATCGAAGACGCATGCGGGCAAAGGCTTCAAGTTAAAGCCTTCAAAAAGAATGTGGAATTCAAACTAATCCTACAAAGGGTTTGTTGTTACAGTCAGTTGTTGCTAAAGTGGAAAGTATTCATTTTTGGCTGACCTGTCTCGGAAAAACTGACGTTGCCTGAGAATAGTAACAGGTTCAATTTTCACAAAAGTGGTGTCAAAATGACAGCAAAGAGTTGCTTAAACGACCTCCAGCATTAGAGCTCTTTCTAGACAGCTCTTCCCAGCATCTTTACATACAGCCCTCCTTACTTGATTATGTCCTGAGCAAAGATCGTATAGCGTCGCTTCGCGGCGCTATACGATCTTTGGTCCTGAGCAACACTAAAAACACCACAAGCTTCATGTACTTTTCGACCATCTGCCAGCAGCTTGGACAAGGACGTATACTTTTCGACCAGACCACCATCAACAAACAAACAAACCTTTGACCACCAGCTGCTTTTAAAGCCACCAGCTACTTGTGACTATCTTCATTTAAGCCACAATTAAAGACTTATAGAGCACCCCTTGCCGATTATTTCTAGCCATCAGTTCGTTCAGGATATCCACTAATTCCATCTCTTTGCATCAGAAACTTTGACGTGATGTAGACATGTGAGGACAGATACCACTTCAATGTCCTCACACCAAAAGCACTGTGAAGGCCCGTTTCAGCAGCAAATTAAAAGCGAAAGACATCTAGATTTTTGGTGTCATAGGTTTCTTCCGTCTATCAAATTACCTCATACCACGTAAATATTTTGCCGAATTTTCTTAACATATCTATAAAACCTGCATGTGGATATCTCTGAAAGTTAGAATCAGTTTCCTTGTGCAAAGACAGGGGAAAAGTACCACCACAGTATCTATATTATTTACTCCTCACCGCAATGTACCACCCGCGGCGTATTAAGTTGACACTTTTTGATTGATTGATTTAGTCTGGTTTCCAACGCACGTCAGCTTATTGCCGTGCATCGGAGCGAGTCCTCGGCGAGTCTGTATAAAAGTGCGTTGTAAACAAAAGTTGACGTCCCTGGCAACCGCACAGTGAACGATCAATTTACCCACGGACGCCATGTTGAATCAATAATTTTGTGTAGGAGCGAGGAGACCAGCGACTAAGTTCTAAAAAATCAAGTTTATCGTCAATAAACCCCATGAATCTGAATTTAATGTACCGTGGAAGAAAAGCCGTTGCCACACTGAGGTATTTTTCCTGCAGTTGTAACGTTGACTGGTTGTGAAACACAAAGGCGCTTGTTTTTTTGACGATATTTCGGGCATCTGAATTTCGCGTAGGAACTAAGGCGGGCCCTCGGCCTAACTGCTAGATCCAGAATCAAGATGGGGGATGGAACCGATGCAAGATTTGATTTTATCTCAGAGTACATTCTGAAAAGCTACAAACTAAAGCCTGACAAATGGGCCAAATGCATAGGTGTAGAGGACAACAAGCTTCTGATTCAAGAATTTCTGGAAAAAGCCGACATTCCACAGATTGTCTTCACGGTCAACGCCGCTGGTTTAATTACACCGTCCTCAGATTTTCCAGAGACCCTGAAGAACACCAAAGCAATCTATTTCATCAAGAAGAGTAAGGAAGCTCTTGGAAAGGACAACTTCAAACAGAACTTGGTGTATGGTGATCTGTCATATTCGCCTCTGGAACAGCTCTCTGCTCTTGTTGACGAGGTAGGCTAAAACTTTAGGATAGGCATGATAGGAGGCCTAGGACCTACATGTAGGTCTACTTCGAGAACTAGTCTAAGTCACTAACTCTGTGATACTCTGTGTTACTTAGAGGAGACAAGGTTTACATGGCGTCGTAACGCTATGGGGTTTTGGAATCGAATTTTTGTGGTAGGCTTAAAATGGTTCACAGCTGTAAGAAAGCTAGGCCTATTATTTCGCATTTTCCCCTGTCAGCATACCTGCTTAATTTAAAAAGGGGAATAACAAAAGTTTAACATGTTTAAGAGCATGAGACAGAGTATTTTTTTTGCTCACCAATTTCTCGCTTCCACCCGTTGACTATCGCTCCGTTTATGCCGTTCGTATTTATCAGACTGTGCATGCGTTGATCCCACCAATGACAGCTGGCAAGGGAAATTTTTGATTTGCCTAGCTTTCTTACGGCTGTGAACCATTTCACCACAAAAATTCGATTCTAAAACCCCATAGTGTTATGACACCATGTAAACCTTGTCTCTTCAAAGTCACATGGAGTATCACAGAGTTAGTGACTTAGAGTTCTCAAAGTAGGCCTAGGCTACTGGTCTACCATGTTCACAGTAAAGTTTTACGCCCTTATATTTTTCCAAATACCTTCTTGAAAAACATTTTAATTTGCACACAAGTGCAAAGAGGAAAAGCAGATGTGACAAATGATCATCAATGGTAATTAACGTCAGTGCATATTTCATGCAAAGTGATACTGAGAAAGTTGACCGTGTGAAAACATGAGTCGGCCCCTAGGCCTACTCCACAATATGCACAGTGCATGTTTTGGCAACTTTGAAGTTTTACTGCAACAAATCTCCATCTAGTTCAATGCTTACGTTGTCATTGTGAATTCTTGTTCATGAGATGGAATTTAGACTTTGAACTGGTGCAGATTATCCATAGATTGGGGCCAGTCTTCTAGACTACCTAGACCTACCTCTGTATACTTAGCCCAACACCCATGTAGATTTGAAAGAAAGTGAAGATAGTCCATACATTGTGAAACAAGTAGCCCTAAATTTTTCATATAACTTCACTCACCCAAGGAGTTTATTAATTTACCCAACTGTAATTCCAAGACTGTTCCTGTTCATTTAGTTTTAGTCTCAGTTTGTTGTCTCAAAACTGCCATTTGTTCACTACACACATCACGCTGTCACTTTGTCGTGAAATTTAATTTTCTTTCAATTTCTCAAATAGGTACTTGTACCCCTCCTGTCTAACCCACGGAATCACGAGCAGTGGCCCTACGTGGTCTCCCAAGATGTTTTGAGACATGTCCATAACTTGAAGAGCAGCGTGTACGTGGTAGCTGGCCAGGTCAAAGGAAAGACACTCCTGCCGCTGCCCGTCGGTTCCGAGAAAGTGGAATGTGCCGCGGAAGCAGAAGAAAAGTGAGTTTCGCTGTGTGTGTCAAAATTTGTCTCATCAGACCGAAACCTTGTGCTCAGAAAACATGTAAAAAGCAAACTGCCAATTTGACAGACTCAAGTTTCAACGGAGAAGGTTTTCCAAAATTTGTAAGCGGCGAAGAAATTCTACACATTCTGAAAGTATATAATCAGCTTGTAAAGTTTGAGGTCCAATTCAGCTGTCGGTTGTTTCATACTTCTGTTCCATTTCCTCAGTGTTTTGTTGTCTTGGGACCTCCAACAAATTTCTCCTGGTTTCATTTCCCTTTTTTATTTCCAAAAATGTTGATATTTCCGTCTCTACATTTTCCTTTTGTGGTATGTTCAACAGAAAAGACATGCGAAATATGACACAAGTAGAAAAGATGTAAAAGATTCAACTCTCCTAGATTCATTCTTAATTTGATGTTGTTTTTTGCTTCCTGAGGAAATGATAATATTTGTGATGTTTGTCGGTTGCAGGGATGACTCCTACGACAGAAGCCTGGTACACTCCATCGAGTCTGTCATTATCGATTGGACACATCAGATCCGAGATGTGCTCAAGAGAGACTCGGCTCAGCCGTTGCTGGAAGGCCTCAACCCAGGCCCCTTTGTGGAGATTCAGTTCTGGAAGGCCAAGTGTGAGAACTTGGAATGTATCTTCCAGCAGGTAAGGATCCGGATTTGGATCGGAATAGACCGATGCAGTAAGCCTCGCCCCATTGCGCTCTGACCAATCACAGCCAAGATATGTGTCCAACATGCATGCACGCCAATGTTATGATGAGTTCTAAATTTACATAATCATATGTCAGATACAGCAGGGACGGACATACACAAAATGGGACCCAAAAGTTAGGGTATGACCCATGACTTCAACGGTGTGTTCAGTTTCAATTCTAGTACAGTTTGCATTGCCGTGAGCTCATGATCAAAGTGGTACTGAAGTTCTATATCTCGCCCTGAATGGCCCCAAATTTCAGAGACTAGATTTTGTCACCAGGGTTTTTTTCTTCCTTAGCTACGCGATCCCAAGGTGCGCAAGATGAAAGAGCTCCTGGAGAGAACGGAGAGCAGCTACCTGCCGTCCTTCAAGAACATCGAGAGGGATGTTGAAGCAGGTAAAGTCAAATCCTCATAGCATCTTCACAAGTCAGCCACAAGTTGGCTAGTCTCAGGACAAGTTTCAAATTAATCCACAAGATCTGACAAAGGCAGTGACAAAAAGTGCTGAAGTCTGCCGTACCCCTTCCAGTTGACCAGTTCACCGAACCACCTACTGGTTGTAAATACAAATCAGACCAGGGTTTGCTCGGAATCAAACGGACCTAACCCCGCCGTGAGTAACCAGTTGAAAGCAAACGTGTTTGATTTTTCCGCATTTGACTTCTCCGGATCCCGTATCACAGGAAAGGTGCCCAGTAACACCCCGATTTCACCAGATGTGACGTTTATATTTTAACCAATCCGTTGCAAGAAGAAAGTCACATGATTCAAAATAGAAGCCCCCCCCCCACAAATTAGACAACTGGTGGGTGACTAAATAATGTAACTGATCACCAAGTGGCCAGTTATAAACGATGGTGGGTGGTGAACGTGTCAGATCAGAGAGTGCGCCGCTGGTTGTAACTTAGTTGTTCATATTGCTTTCCTTTTTAACAAATAATTGTTAGCATCATCTGGGTTATTGATTCAAAGTTTTGTAGCCTATGGGCTGATATACCTATTGGTTACATCGGATGCATGATTAAATTGAAAATTAATTTAAACAACATTTAAACACTGGAACAAATAAAATGATAGCTAAACGTAAATAAAAAACATCATTTACACCAAAGCAATTAAGTACGAATACAACCAAAGAAAAACTTTCAATCAATATTATATAATTTACACAAAAGGGGCAAAAAAATAAATATCCCCTTTTTTCCCCCTGTTGACTTGGATCGTAGCCTTGACTGAGGCCCAGGACATCACCATGTACCTGAAGCCACTCGGGGGTCACATCGAGGGCTTTGAGGAGGTGGACTTCCCCGAGTTGCTCCCCAAGCTCAAACCCCTGATGCACGTGGTCTGCCTGATCTGGAGTAACTCGGAGTACTACAACACGGCGCCCAGGATCATCGTACTCCTGCAGGAGATCTGCAACTCGCTGATTGAGCATGTGAGTGAACAGTGATGTGGAGTAGATGGCATTTCTAATTAGAAGCACACAAATTTATGCTAACGGAGGCTCCGTATATTTCAGGAAGACAGTAAGCATGGTAGACAGCATGCTTACCATGGAGGAAAAATTTGCTTAACGTAAACAAAAGAAATCTCTATGCGTGAGCAACCATAAACATAGCCATGCCAAGCACCGCCATGGATTGCGCTTACGGTCTGCAACATTTTCTATTTAAGTAAGTTTGACTTTTATACTAACTGTTAAGAAGCGTCGTGAAATTGGGCCCTGATCTTGCGTATTTACAAAGGTAGAGAGCATCTTCAGAGACTCTGGGTTAGAATTTTTGCTGTTTGGTTCATTAGCGACGTCTTCATTTGCGCCCATACTCTGATGATTACAAGGTCCTATTTACCAGTATGCCAGCTGTGTGGTTTGTATTTAAGTTTCAATGACGTCACCCTAGCAAATTGGGTAATAACTGGTTCTGCTTTCAAAAATATTTGCTGACTTTAAAGGGAACACGTATTTCCTTATTGTTGATCTTTACATTTGATGAGCATGCAAAGTTTTGATATAAAAACTAGTTCTGCTTTCCAAATAATTTTGGCAAAGTAATGGGAAATAAATTTTATTGTTCCACTGTTTGTCCACAGGGAATGTTTCATTATTCACGCTGAAAACAGTTGTTGTAAACATTTCTGAACAATTTGCAGCAAGTATAAACTATGCTTGCGTTCTTGCACCCAGTGTCGCAATTTCCTGTCACCGGACGAGATCTTCAAGATGGAATGTGAGGAATCCCTGGAGAAGGTCCGGGGAGCCCTGGCCGTGCTGCGAGGCTACAAGGACCTTTACGAGGAACACCGGGCCAAGCTGAAGGACTACTTCAAGGACGGCCGGGAGCCCATCCTCTGGGAGTTTGCCCCCTCCATGGTCTTTGCCCGCTTGGACAAGTTCTTGGAGAGGTTGGAAATCCTCGAGGTGAGTCGTTGCTGGTCACGTTTGGATGACTGATTAAAGATGAGGCAGTCGTCAATCGTGATAGAAAACAGAAGCTTATTTTAGATGAGGAAAGGAGATGAATACTCTTTAAGGAATCTAATAAAGAATGTGATAGAATTAATCAAATTTCAAGAGACAGGCATATCAGAAAAACACAACATTTACCTCCTTGATGGATGTTTTGTGCCATTAGGAAATCTTAATTGAAGTTCAAGGTTGAAATGCAATAGCCTGCCTTGAATTTGGTTTCGACACCATACGCTCTGACCACAATTAAAAAAGAAAGTGGCAAATTACCAGGCGTCAGAAGGTATTAAAACATTTTCCAAATGAAAGTTTTTGCAGTTGAGTTCACTTCTGTAATTGGAAAGACGTGGCACTTGTAATTACTCCCTTGCAGAAACTCTTTGAGACCAACGTTGAGTTCACCAAGCTGGAGAAGACGGAGATGGGAGGCATGAAGGGCCGAATGCTGAGTGTACAGGTGGAGAAAATCCACGAAGAGTTCCAGGAATATGTCAAGGTCTTTGCCGAGCGGAGCTATGATGGCTTGGATCCGCAGTGCCAGGTTGGAAATGAAGAAAATTGGTGTCTCTTTGAATCAGTAGCAGAGGTTTTTATGATACTGATAATGACGTTGCCTTAATCTGAGCTTGCTTTAGAGGCATTTGTAAGGAATATCTGAAATCCACCACAATCATTTGGTCTCTTGGACATTTTTAAAGTTTCCGGCTAAGGTTGGACCAACTACACTGACATCACACTGTGTTCCTAGAAATGTTGGCAATAAAAATAATAATAATAATTGAAAATTTATAATGCAGCATTTCCATAAAAAGGATCAACGCCGCAGTACAAGTCGACATTAAAAAAAATTAACTTAATTAATTTCATTTAATGAATGAATGTCACCGCGCTAGTACCCAAACCGCACTATGGGGAATACGTCTGCCCCGCCAACAGGGAGAACCTAACCCTGCTGGCATCGGTGATGTCTCGATCTTTCCCTGGGACAGACACCTCTAACCCTACCTACGATGAAAGAAAAGTAATTATTTAAAGGCAGTGTAGCATTTGAGTCAGTTACAAGTCCCTTCAAGTCTGTCATAAGTTCCCGTCCTGGTGAAAGTCAAGTCATAAGCTATTCAAATGAACTGTGACCAAAGAATTTCTCTGTCATTTTTTACCCTATTACTTGTTCCTGGTCTTGTGTAAGGACTTATGATAAACTTTACCTAAGCATTGGACGTTAAGAATGTCAGTTGATAGATACTCAGATTTACGCTTGTATAGGCAGACTAGCTAGCTTGTTCGTTATATTGAGCATGCTGGCTTGTGTTTTCTGAGATTGTCTAAACTCATTGCATCGCTCCCTTTAATGGTTACAGGAGTTCATAGATGACTATGAAGTCTTTGAAAAGCAGGTATATGACCTGGATCGTCGCCTAGGAGCTATCCTCTGCCAGGGTTTTGATGACTGCTCTGGTCTGGAATCAGTCTTTAAGGTTTGTCTCTTCAAATTCTCTTCATGAATAGGAGGGCAAAATGTTATTGCTTTTTTGACCAGTTATCAAATTTTATTTTCGGAAGCTTGGAAGAGTGAGTAGATGTGTTTCCCTTTCTTTGGGACCATTAGTTAAAAGAGTTGCCAAAGCAAATATACACCATCATCAGTTTACACCCACCGGTTCTTCTCGGAACCACCACTCTTTTAGAAGAGATTGATTTCACATGGTTTACCTGCAGACCTTCTCTCTCACATAACCCTGTTCACCACTTCCCAGGTTGTATCATGTTATTGAGGCGTGATCCCTGGCTACATGGTGTTTCAGGTTTCATGGCTACCGGCTAGTGCCCCCCGAACAAAGATATTGATATTGACAAATAGGAAGAGCCACCAACGTAGGGCTTGATACTCAGGTGGTAGAGCACTGGTACGGTGTTCCGGAGGTCACAGGTTCAAAACCCGCTCCAGTCAATTTCTTTGTTCATCTTTATAATCAAATATACATCGAGTTTGATCTTGGACAATGGTTTGACGTTCTCTCAAACTTCAAACTTGGCGTTCACTGGATGTGACCTATGAAATGCCTGTAAATACCCCCAGATTCCGATGAATTCAACCTGGTTGGGTTGTTATGTAAAGCCACACTCACACGCACCAAAGAGAAAAAGAGCTAGGTTGTGATCAATGTGCTCCTTCTTCTGACACGCACCGTGTGCTTTTTTTGCACAGATGTTGGACTGTTACGGTCCAATGCTCGACCGACCGGTCATCAGCGATGACTTTGAACCCAAGTATCCCACTCTGCTGACCATGTTCGACGAGGACCTGGACAACGCCAAAGAAGTGTACGACCAGCAGATGTCGTCCATCGCCCAGACGGACGGACAGCCGCCCCTCAACAAGAACATGCCAGAAATGGCCGGGGCTCTGAAATGGTCGAAGGAGCTGGAACATCGCATCAGCAACCCCATGGCTTCCTTCAAGCACATAGAACACCCGTAAGTTGATTGTGATCAAAAATACCGACAAAAACTTCAGATTTGTTCAGCTAACTTGCATCATCCAAAGGTTTTAAGTAAATTTACGGAGGCTTGTAGTTGATGTAATTCAGAATTGACGCAACAGAAATGAAGATCACTAAAGAGAGGAGAAGACCTTGTCATGAAAGTTACTTCAGAAGTGACGTTGAAGTTGTCCCATACAGAAATAAATCTGACCTGTGATTGGTTTTTCAAACATTTTAGGAGCAAACTGCTGAGAGCAATGTGTGTAGTGTTTAGATTGCTCAGTTATTGTACAAAAACATAACTTTTCTTGATTTACTATACATTACAGGCCAGTGAAAAGTTCTCTGTCTGTTCAATATGTCTGATTGTATTGAAGCAAATTTCCATCACTCAAAACTTAGCATAAAATATCCACTTGGCCTACGTATACTGTACCAAGCTGACTTACTGAATCAACTTCATTTAGCATTTGTGAAGCACCATCCGAAAACCAGGCTGAAGTCGGTATTTGTGATGTTAGACAATTTCTCTCCTTCAGCTTTTCTTTACACTTTAAAGTGATCCATATTAAATCGAAATTCTGTGTGCAGTAAGCTTCTTATGGGTAGTGATAGTTGTGAAACTCCCATGAAAATCTGAACCGTGGAAGTTCCACTACTTTAGGGTCATGAAGTTACCTACGTCAGCCTGGTTTTGGGATGGTGGGTCACATTTTTACGTATTCATATATTCCAATGTGCCTGATGAATATGCTTATATTCCTAACAAAGTCTTTTTGGCAACAGACAGAAAATCGCAGCATGCAAATCTTTGTGCACTTGTATCTGTGCTGTGAGAACGATTCTTCTTATTTTGACTTTGTTTGGCACCGTCATGTACCATGGCATCGCACCAGGATTGCAAATGATCTTTTTGTTTTACCATGACCAGATTTTTGCATGCTTCTCTCTTTGACGTATTTTATGTTTGTATGGTTCCCTCTTCCTTCTTTTGCGGTAACAATGCAGAACTGGAGTCCGAAGGTAATGGCACTGACCGCTGGCTGAGCTAGCCCTAAGTGTTTCTTCTGTTTTTTTTTTGCTTTTGGTTGTTTTGGAATGTCTGCTGGAACTGTCGTCTGATTTTAGTGATAACTTCCAGCATGTATTTTAACTTTTCTAAAAATGGAAAGTGGTGTGAAAGACCGCCACTGATGCGTGTTTCAAATTTGACACCGGCTTGAAATTATTGTTAAAAAAGCATACACGTATCTGCTTGTTTTTGAGTTGTTGAAGTTTGGCCGCGCTAAACTTTTGCGTTCTTAACCAGAAATTGATGGAAATGAAGGGGGAAGTATGCCAAGAATTTCTTGACGGCACGCTGTGCACATAATGACTAGGGTAGGGGGAATGGGAGAACTAAGTTTAGACCTCAGTTTCAGCAGGGAATCGCTTCCAGTTTTGGGGTTTTTTTTTTGCTTTTGGTTTGATTTGGTGTGGTACTACAGTATCTTGAATGCTTTGGGTGTGGAGGAAATCTTTGCACCACTTTTGTTTGTTTCCCATGTGAACGTCGCAGGTGAAAGAAGCACAGATTCTTTCGGTGTTTTCTTCTTCTCCACATCTTACACTATTCTTTGAACCAGCTTTTTAGCTCAAAGGCTGAGTTGCTTCAGTTCAGGTTTCCCTAGTCTGTTAGTTTTAAAATGATTTCTTGCTAATGCCGACACCGCCACTCAAAGAAAACGCTCCTGGCGCACAAACAGACACCACCCAGCGTGTGAGCCGTCTCTTTTAACACGGTTGAAGTGGAACGTTAGTAATGATTAGTCCTCTCGTAACTGACTTCTCTTGTCTTGCGACAGAAATTTTTCACTGCTCTAAACTTGGTGACAAAAGGGTTTCTCTTTCCAATCATTTGGAGATGCTATCTCAGCTTCTTCTTGAACTGCAAGATCACACAGAAGCAGATTTGATTTGCAGAAGCCTACACGTAACACCACAATCTTCAGAACTGACAACCGCAGATCCCAATATCAATTTGCAACTTTCAGAGTCGGGTCAACTGTCACTTGAGTTCTTGATGCGAGAAAATAATAGAGATTATAAATACGGTTGAAAATGGTTTTTAGTAGAATTGTTGTAGAATGAATTCTGGAGACATGTTTTATAACAACCATCACTGTTCTTGGAAAAAGGATGATGTCAGTTTTTAAGCCCAATGCCCTTTGCTTTCACATTCCTGTTTTGAGATTTTGTTCTGTTTCTTGAAGAAGAATTTCATTGAGTTTCCCTTTTAATGGTGCTTTTTGTCTAATCGTGTTTCTTCTTGATAATTTTTCTTAATTGATGAGTTTATGTTGATCGGTTTTTCACAGTTGCATGGTTTTCTCAATGAGTTCGTACCTGTTCGTATCTGTTTGATGTTACATCATTAACAAGTTGTCCTGATTGCACTGTGAAGGTTTTTTTCTTGGGGAGGGTAGAAGGCCGCACAGGTCCATTTTTATCCAAAAGTTCTGTTTAAAATGTTTCTCAGTTTAAATCATGACGTTCAGTTCATATTTTGGTGTGACAGTCATGTGTTGTCATTACATTGCCTTGCAATAGGAAATGTATTATTGTTCAATATATGTCACCGTTGACTATTCATAAAGCAAAACCTCAAGCATGGATGATATCAGCCAATCAAAAACCGCCAACATTCATCAATGGAGAATCATTGTTCTTTGGGTTCAGTGTTCATTTGACATAGCAGTGTTGTGCTTGTATGAGTTTAATTTTTAAAAATATTTTTACTGGTGTGAGTTGCATATCCACATCAAAGTCTTTGAAGATCATTACACTTCATTCATTCAGATGCTATCTGTTTAATTTCAGACAATTTCTAGCTAAGTTTGATCACTGCAATTTGTAAATCATTGGTCAAGTTACCATCGTAAAGTCGGGACAAAATATATCCTCAGTGCCAAGCAAACCACTGATTGAATTACGGCCTAGTTGAAATTTGGCGTTGCAGGCTTTCACAGTGGATTGAATTCGGGGATGATCATGTTTTGTTTCAAACAGTGCCGTAGTGAAGCAGTCGTACATTTTTTGACAGTGAGTCGGTGGAACAGAATTCCTATCTGGTTGCAGATTGAATAATGCCAATGTCAGTAAGATATTCAAACCTTCGGACAAATTTAGACTTTTCATTGTTGATAACCTGACTTTGTTTGGTTTGTGCATTGAGTTTTGTCGTGTATTATTAGTACGGTGCATTTATGGGTCCTACTTATTTCAGTCCTGGTCCATCAGTTGAGAAATGTGGATAGAGATTTCCATTGGATTATTTTCAGGATTATCCAGTCAGATGAGGCCAAGACGATCTTCACCAAGTATGAAGAAATGATGGACCTCCTGGGCAAGTATGTGACTCTAGTCATTCTATATGTACCCATGTAAATAGGCTGATCATTGCTGGAAAATGCATTGAGTAGTTTGCAAACACAGCAGAACAGTGAAACTGTGACAAGTAGTCGTCTTGATGTAAGAAGTCTCTTCACAAAGCCTGTGTTTCGTACATTTCGGTATTTTGCATTAGGAAATGTATTATGGTTTGATTGAAGTACGGAGAGAAGTTCTTACCTTTCCAACCAGTTGAAACGGTTTGACGTCTTGGAAGTTGTCCACCTGGAGTTTTGTGATAGACTGTAAATTAGGTCAACTGATTCTTACAATGGCTGCAACGGTTGCATTGAAAAATGCTGAAGATTGAAGACGAGACACCATTGGCCTACCATCTCTAAGAATTGGGTTTTTTTGTTTGCTGATTTCTCTTTCAGATACAATGACAGGGTCTACAAGGATTGGACCGCTGGCGTGGACGACATCTGTAAAATCAATCTCAACCAGCCTCTCATCACCCGTAACAAGGACACCGATCTCATTACCGTCAACTTTGATCCCAAGGTAAGGAAGGCCTCTCCTGTCCTTGTGTCTGAGTGGCAGTTAAAGACGTCGGTTGCGGTTCTAATCTGCTTTCACCGTCTCTTTGCCGGCAAAGAAGAGACGTTAAATTTTTGGCTAAAATTCCTTGTGGTATATGTTGCTTTGTGATCGGTTCTTGGCCATTTTTTGTTACGCACATAAATTTCTGAAGCAGTTTTTCGCGTTAGCCGGGTTGTGAAGTTGGCTTCTTATCAGAAAATAGACTTGATTAATTGGGGATACATGTGTGGTGAAATTTGTTGCTTGTAAATTTCTGACGTATTTGTTCATCCTGTTCCATTCGTAGCTTGTCGCTGTCCTCCGTGAGGTCAAATACCTCCTGATACGCGAGCAGGATGGCATCCCGGAGAGCGCGGCCGGCATCTACAGCAAGCACGAGACGCTGCGCAAGTTCAATGCCAACCTGGACCTGACAGTGGCCTGGTACAACAAGGTACGGGAGAACGTGCTGGAGGTGGAGTTCCCGTTGATCGAAGGCCAGCTGGCCACCATCGACCAGCAGCTGAAGCGGGCGGAGGCAGACCTGAGCTGGGAGGCAGAGAGCGTGTGGGAGTACATCCAGGAGACCCGGGACCAGGTGCACGACCTGGAGAAGCGGGTCCAGCGGGCCAAGGACAACGTGGACCTCATCAAGAAGATCATGGAGGAGTGGTCCAAGACGGCGCTCTACGAGCGCAAGGAGCTCAAGGACTCGGCACTCCTGGCGTTGGATGACCGGGAAGAAAGGCTGAACAAAAGATACAATGAAATCACTGCTGACGGAGAAAAAATACACACATTCGTCAAGGTAGGTTTTGGCAATTACTAATCCAGGTTTCCTTCCTTGAAAGTCTTCCTTGAAAGTGTTAAATGACAAGTTGGTATTCCAGATTTCGGCCCTAGTGAACCCTTGTAGGGCAAAAGTGAAGTCATCCCAAGTCGATCTCAAGCCACTACAAGTCATTTGCAAGTCAGTTACAAGTGCATCAAAAGCTGTCGCAAGTCAATCACAAGCCAGTCACAAGTCAGTTGCAAGTGAATCACAAGCCAGTCACAAGTCAGTTGCAAGTGAATCACAAGCCAGTCACAAGTCAGTTGCAAGTGAATCCTTAGCCAGATACAAGCTGTCAGAAGTCAACTGCAAGCCATTCAGAGTCATCACAAGCCACTCACTAGCGAATCACAAGCCAATCACAAGCCAATCAAAAGTTCTTAAAAGTCAATCACAAATTATCATGATTTTAAGTCAATCACAAACCAATTACAAGTCATCCTGCTTTGATCTCAAGTCAGACTAAGTGTGGCGCAGGGATTCCTTTGTCGTTGTCCTTCCAGCGGTGTCATTTCATACTTGAGACCTGATTTGTGATGTGACTTACGACTTGCAATTGATACTGTTATTGACATTTTTTGTAAATGTTTGAATTTTAATCTCACCACGTCTAAAATTTCGCAGATTGGATCTGAGAAAATTAAGAAAACTACATGTTACTCGAGTTGATGTGGCTGGTTTTTAAACTTTCAAAAATTGTCAGGTTTTGTGGCCGCGAAGTGTGAAGATTTTTGCTCTGTGTTTTCCTCAAAACTGAGAAATCTGCTCTTGCGAATGTACAGGAAAACTGTGAGCTGTTCAAAGCCGACCCCAGCAGCGATATCTGGAAGGCGTACATCGATTATGTAGACGACATGCTCGTTGATGGCTTCTTTGCTTGCATCAACTGCAGCATGACCTACATGCTGGAGAACACAGACACTAAGTGTCTGTCACCGCTCTTCGAAGCCAAACTAGAACTGCAGGTAACGTTGACGGAACTGCTCAGGGGAGGGGAACCGTTACATTTTCAACCTGCAAGGGATTCTAAGATTTCGGGATAAGCATTCATGAGTTACCATTACAAGTTACTCAAATGTCACAGGTTGATTAGGAATAGAACTGTCACTTGTGCAAATTGAACCAAGTGAAAGGTTTATTCAATCCGCCCCGAGCGGAAGTACCCCCCTCGTTGGTTAAAAAGAGCCATGTTGGTTGGGAGTGTTCCTTTTGTTGATGGCGATGTGACAACACTTACGTTTCTTAGGCTGCATCCGAATCTGTTGTCTAGAGTCTAGGTCTAGGTCTTCGCTTCATTGGAAATGCGTGGAGACGCGCGGACAGTAGACCTAGCCGTAGCTCTGGGAGTCTGTTTTGGACACGGCCTTAGTCGTTCATGAACCAGCGATGCGCAGTGACTGCCATACCTTGGGTACTTACCAAAGGAGCCTGTGTTGCTAGGAAAATTGCGCCCTCTCTTGGCCCATCTTGGGGCCCGTTAACCTCAAGAGTTTAATGTTAATGGAAAATTCAGTGTGCAGTGCCACTTTAATGCCCTTGAGAGTATGGCATTTTAAAGACGTAGAGTAGTAAAGCCTGGACTGTAGAATATTTTGTAGGGAATTTCACATCATTAGCATCATGGTGTGACTTAAACTGCCTTGTTTCTCCTTTTTTGTGGGATCCTCAGGCTCCTGACATGGTGTTTGTCCCGTCGCTAGACTATGGTGTCGCCGACGGCTTCTACGACCTTGTTGAGATGCTGATCAGTGACATCTACAAGATGGCGTCCCTGGTGAAGAGGTTAGCAGAGCACAATGGCTCCGAACATTACCAGGTTAGTGAAGCAGTAGTGCAGTTACTTACGCTAATAACCCAAGTGATGGAGCCTTTGTTTTGTCTGATTCACACTCAAAGATCTTAGCCATGCTTCTATGACAAAATACTCAGAAATTTTTAGAGAAAATGATCTAGTTTTATATTAAGAATCCTTACTTCCTAGGTCTGGCAGAGAATATGCTAAAGGGGCTATTCTTTTTGTACACACAAAACAATTTAAAAAAATATCAAGTTGGCCAAAAACGCTGCATATCAACACGGCCGTTTCACAATAGTGCGCCACCAAGTGTTTGCAATATGTTAGCCAATCACAGTGTGCAAAATTTGTCGACCCAATGCGCGTTTGGCAAGTTTCGACAAATTTCGCGCGTTATGATTGGCCAGTGTGTTACAAACTCTTGGTGGCGTGCTATTGTGAATCGCTGTCCTAGAGTAAGGGGGTCTTGGAGCAAATTTAAAATTGGAGGCAGAGAGAATGTGCATGTGTCAAAATGGAATTTTTAAAGACGATTAAGAGTTCTAATTATGGGAGTTATAATAGCGCGACAAACTAAGGAGCACAGAAGATCCCAACACCTGAAGAGATTGTGGTATCAGTTTACTAATGTTCTGCCAGCCACAAGACCAGTCATAACACCAGTCATAAGATCAGTAAGGAGACTGGTCACAAGATTGGTCACAAGACCAGTCATAAGATCAGTCACGAGACCGTTCACAAGATTGGTCACAAGACCAGTCATAAGATCAGTCATGAGACTGGTCACAAGATTGGTCACAAGACCAGTCATAAGATCAGTCATGAGACTGGTAACAAGATTGGTCACCAGTCATACAGAACAGGGTGGATTGTAATAGGGTCATTTAAATAACTCGTGACTTGGTTTTATAGAAGTGGACAACTTGTGGTGGACTTTGAGGGACTTGCGATGGACTCAACTTCCACTCAACTGTCAATGTGAAATTGTATCAAGGTTTGATGTATGTGAATCACTGATCGTTCTTTTCAGAGTGACCTGGAAGAGATGCTGGATCTCCAGGACATGAGGCAAGAGTTGATGGACCGCGTCAACACCATCATGAACAAGGCCCAGGAGTACCGCAATTCCTTTGATAACTACGCCTACCTGTGGGTGGACGACCGCAAAGAGTTCATGCGGCAGTTCCTGCTCTACAACCACGTGCTAACCACCGAGGAGATCGAGGCTCATGCGGAGGATGGGGTGCCCGAGTGCCCGCCGACGCTGGACCAGTTCAAGGAGCAGGTAGGAGCAAGTCATTAGTCTTCAGGGGTTGCGCAGTTACGGCTAGCACAGTGACAAAGGCATCTTGTATAATTATATAGCCTTTGCAATATTACAAACCTGGGAAACAGTTTTTGTAGAAGTTCAAAATTACCAGTGCGTCAAATTCGTTCATCACATTGATTTGGAGAAACATTGGGTAGCTTACCTAATGAGCCAGTTCAGTGTTTCAACAGCACATGCTCAAATTGAAGCGTGTCAGAGGTCAATCAGAGGAGTGTGAGAAGTTTGCCCTATCAGTGCGATGCTACGCAGACTCATGGATTTTGTTCTGGAATGACCTTGCTCTTTTGAAATACTGAACTGGCTCATAAAAACAATTTATTTATTTCTGGATAAATGAATCCCCCCAAATTAATTCCTCTTCTGTCTCAATTTTCTCCTCTTCATTTCTTATCTGTACTTCCCTAGGTTGACTCTTACGAGAAGATCTACAGCGAGGTGGATGAGATTGGTGCCATCCACGTCTTTGACACATGGTTCCGTGTGGACGGCCGACCGTTCAAGCAGGCCCTGCTCAACATCATCAAGAAATGGAGCTTCATGTTCAAGCAGCACCTGATCGATCATGTGACCAACAGGTTAGACTGGCGACAGTGCTCGTTTTCCAAAGCTGAGTGCTACGACTGCGAAAATGAGCTTCCCCAATTTGAGAGGTTCTTGTAGCATTCGCCACCTTTGATCTTCACATCTGATGTCTTGATCCGAATCAGGCCATTCCTGGAATTATTATTATTACCGTACTGAAAAAATGAAAGACCTCAGTCATGGTGCCCCCTCCCGAACATTTTTCTTAAATTGACTGTAATAAAAGTTAAGCAAGCTAAAAATTGACAAAAATGGTAACATCGTTACTTTTGAGCAGGTTTCTTCAAAGCTAGTTTGTTAATTTTTGTGTCAAATAGCTTGAGCGAACTCCAAGACTTCATCAAAACGGCCAACAGTGGCCTGACGAAGCCTGTGGAGGAAGGCGACTACAACGGCCTGGTGGAATGTATGGGTCACCTGATGGCGGTCAAGGACCGACAGGCGGCCACCGACGAGATGTTTGAGCCACTCAAGCAGACCATCGAGCTGCTCAAGACCTACGACCAAGAGATGCCCGAGGAAGTCCACACGCAGCTGCAGGTCAGGTCTTGGCTTCATTAGCATCACAGCTTCTAACCTGAAGTATTTTACAAACACTGCTCGTTGAAATCATACTTTAAAATAATGCTAAATTGAATTTTTTTAAAAACACTTCCCTTTAAAAGAATTTGAAGTATTTTAAAAGCACCGCTCTTTAAAATAATTCTTGCTTGTGGTATCAATTCTTATATGATTCGAGCTGATCAGCTGACTTTAGCAAGCTTTATAGTTGAGTGCTGAACCAGGTTGTGGATTTGGGTCCCCCAAGGAAGCTGGTGAATTTTTCACTAACCCTTGAACAACACTGTTCACACAGAATTTAGAAATGTACCTGAGAGAAGGGCAGAAAAGTAATATGAACTCAAACTATGCCATCTTTTTCACTTGCTATTGTATTGTTAACTGGTTCATGACTGTGATTATCTCATGGAATGTTCTGCCAAAGGTGGAGTAGGTTGTGCTGGGAGCCGTGGAAGTCATCATAACAGGGTTCCTGTGGCCTGGAAAAGTCATGGAAATTTGTTTTCCAGGCCTGGCAAAGTCATGGAATTTGTAAAAATAATTAGAGTTATGGAAAAGTACGTCATGGAATTTTTCAAACACTGTGTGATTTCTGTTATCAGAAATGAAGTGCATAAAATGTGTGATTTTATTCGCAACTTTAAAAGTCCGAAGAGTTCAAACAAATTGCATTATTGGGTCATGGATTTTCATAATTTGGTCATTGAAAAGTCATGGGATTTGGTTGTCCTTCAGGTGCAGGAACCCTGCCTTAACCACTTCATGCCGGGGCAAGTTTCAATGTTGATGATGCTGGGCTGGCATGACTATCATTTTTTCCGTTTTCAAAATCCTTCAAAAATTCATCATTTCATTTAACGGTCGTTTATAGCCGCACCAAGTAATCTTTAGGCACCACTCTAAGTTGACAGGTGGCCTTCATTGACGCCTGAGTATTTCAGCCACGTTAGCAGCCTTGTAAACAGAGCCCAGGTTGTGTGGTGTTATATAACTGTCTTTTGTTCACGAACCTGGCTCAGTGCACTGCTGACTTCTTTTCAATAAGGGCCAGATTAGCGTGCAGCGGTACTGTGTGGCTCATCGCTGCGGTGGTGGAGCGCCTTTGTCCCCGGTGGTAATCCGCTCGCTCTCAATGCCCCAAACCCCAGTATAGGGTTTCAAAACAAGGCTGGATTATCACCACTTTTGATAGTAAAATATGCTGGTAATGCCCAGCAGCCTGGTCTTTTGTTTGGAGTACGGTCTTTTGTTACAGGGCCCTGTTTCCTTTGTCCGAGTTTGGAGACTCCGGCCACGCATATAAACCATACGGCTCCGATTTCGGAGTCCCCGGCAGGTAGTGATTAACGCAGTTGTCAAGTTAATTATTTGATGAAGGAGAAGTAACGTTTTCTGGTAATTTTTATTTTGGTGACTGCAGGAACTACCCGAGCAGTGGAACAACACCAAGAAGATTGCCATCACCGTCAAGCAGCAGGTGGCACCCCTGCAGGCCAACGAGGTCTCCATCATACGCAGGAAGTGCACGTCATTCGACGTAAGTCTCAACCAGGAATTCCCACAGTCACGGAAAATCAGGCTAAATCCTGGAAGGAAAGTTGTCATGGAATTTTATGGATAATTGGCAAAACAATAAGGTGTTCCGGAATGTTGTCAGAGGAAAAAGTAATGGAAATGTTACAGAAATCAGGATCACGTAAAGGGTTTTAGGAGTTGTGTTTGATGCTATAATGGAATAGTGATAAATTTACATGCTATCCTTGTCATTGTGACGGAAATTGTTACATTTTTGTCCTGGAAAGTCCTGGAAAAGTCATGGAAAAGTCATGGCATTGGCTTCCAGCTGTCTGGGATTCCTGCCAATTTTTACATGATAAGGGCATGTGGCCCAGTGGGTTGGGTCTATAACTTCCAATCACAGGATTAGGGTTCCAATCCAGCAGTAGGTGACCTTGGGCATGTCACTTGATCCCGGCTTGCCTTTTTTCCACCCAGGAGTATAAGTGGGTACCTGTGAGGGCAGTGATGGTTACTGTAGTTGATTAACGAGACAGTGCCAGAAGTGGTATCACTGAGCTGCATACTTCCCCAGGAAGCTGAGATAGTTTTAGAAATTCTAAGAGACCCATTGAGCAGGAATAATGGTGACATCTGCACATTGAAACTTTCTTTGAAATGCGCTATATAAAAACGGTTGCTATTATCCTTTCAAGTTTCCTTGGCCGTTGAAGTACTTTCTTGGATGAGTCTCTGTGATTTCTACAACTTGCCAGTTCCTTCCTGGTTACAGTGCTTTTCTAATGCATAAAATGCCGCTGTAAAAGCGTCTTGTACAGCGTTTGTGCAACTTTTACATTTCGCATTGTTTTTGTCACGAATCTTGCAGGTCAAGCAACACGAGTTCAGAGAGAAGTTCCGCAAGGAAGCGCCGTTCATCTTCGATTTCAAAGATCCGTACCGGGCTCTGGACGAGGTAAAACAAGAAATTGGCAGCGATACTACATTGAAAATTTTGATTTGTTTCATATTGTCTGCTTGTGATGTAGGGCTTATAAATAATACCAAACAAGCCAGTTTTGCTTTCAATCATTTTGCTTTTGATTTTGTAAAGGTTTCATATTGCGTTGTTTCAAGATTTTTTCGTAGGCTATAGTTTTGATGTGTGGATACTAAGTAATTTGAAGAAAGCAACACAAAGCAACATTAAAGGACTCTATAGCACTTGACAATAATCAGTCAACTGTATTTATTATGGGTCCATCACACCAATACAAATAGTGCATTACTTTATCTTTTGGGCACAAAACACTTTTCCTGTAGGCGAGAACTTTATTTGCCATTTTGTGACAATAAACAGATTACGGATAGAAATCTTACAGAATTCAAGTGAAGAAGGCACTCTTTTTACTTTCACTGAAACCGGATGCGTAAAAATTGTTTCTGTGTCATGGCTGTAACGTTTGCCCACCATAGGCTTTTCAAAATATGACTGACCGTCTTTCCAAAAGTGAAATAATCATAAGAGAGTGCAAAGTAAAATCTTTTTCAGCTATCAATTTATTTACTAATTAACCCTAACCCTCCTTAGTCCTCCAACAGGTGAAGGATTGAGGAGGGTTAGGGTTAATTACTAACTGATATCGCCTCCCTTTTTTAGTGTTATTGGGGCAAAGGGGCTTTTTGATGAAAACGTAACAAGTGCTGGACATTTGACATAGTTCTGCCCACTGTACAAATCGGAAGCCATATGAGAAGGGTCTCCTGAGCTTATTTGGTTTTTTTACAACTGTTGCCCTAGTGTCACATGACGATCTTTGAGATGGAGAACGAGATGGCCAAGCTGCAGGAGTCGGCAGGCCTGTTTGAGGTGAACGTGGCCGACTACAAGCAGCTCAAGGCCTGCCGCAAGGAGGTGCGACTCCTCAAGACGCTGTGGGACATGATCATCATCGTCCGCTCCAGGTAAAGCCAGCACATGCCTGGGTCATGGAATCAGGGTTGCTTGGGAGAAACCCCCGCCCAATGTTGGCCACTTGTTATAATCCTCAGATACACATTAAGCTCACTTTTTATTTGTATGGTGTCAGGTCAACTTGCCCCCTGACCGACTCGCCCCTTACCGACTCGCCCCTTTCCAACTCGCCCCCTCGTAAACTCGCCCCCTGACCGACTCGCCTCTTACCAACTCGCCCCCTGACTGACTCGCCCCCTGGACGACTCGCCCCCTAAGTTTGCCAAGCACGTATGGCCGGCCCATTCACCATTTAATAAAAAATACAATCAGTCAGAGATGGAATCGGTGATTGCTGCCCTTAAAAATAGGTTCTGGGGTTTTGTATTACATCGATATTAGCTCAGCTGTCAATTTTTCACATAGTTTACAGAATGCTTGCAGTGAACTTAGGAAACCGTCAACTTCTAGCAGTTATTTTAAACTTTGCCATCACTTTTTTCAGATCAGTGTGATCAGATCTTCCGGTACTGTTTCATTTCTCAAATGCCAGTAGCAAATTAAATCTTTTACACTGTTTGCTGAAAGCACTATTATCTGCCTTTGTTTCATGTTTTGTACCGATTTCCTGAATTGACTATCTGTGACATAGTGACAAAATGGTTACCACAACCTCTTTCCTTGTCTCGAAAAAAGCACCGTCGTTAATCATGAGTAATAACCAAACTGCTGTTTCATGTTTCAAATCGCAGCATTGATGACTGGAAGACCACCCTCTGGCAGCAGATCAATGTAGAGCAGATGGAGATGGACTGTAAGAAATTTGCCAAGGACATCCGCTCCCTGGACAAGGAGATGCGGGCCTGGGATGCCTACTCGGGGCTGGAGTCCACCGTCAAGAACATGCTGACCTCGCTGAGGGCCGTCAGTGAGCTTCAGAACCAGGCCATCAGGGACAGACATTGGCAGCAACTCATGCAGGCCACAAAGGTAACCATTTTTTGTTACAGCAAAGTTTTTTCCGGCAATGAAACCAAGGATTCCTCATAAGCAAATCTGTAAGCTCTGCTGCTGCCAAGAGGTGAACAATTTTATGAATTCTGTCCAGTTAAGGTTCATCCTTGCTGAACTTAACAAGGTTTATACAAGAAAAGTACAACACCGTTTTGGAAGGTAATGAAAAGCTTGTTTGGCTGTAACAGAACTTCAAGATTATCTGTCCAGTTCTGAGAGATAAGAACTTTTTCAAAATGGTGACCAAGGCTAATTTATTGACTGTTTTATGACTAATGTAATATTAAAAAGAAATTGCAGTTGTAAAGGCCACGATCGTCCTCGTCCAAGAAGTTGAATATAATTTAAACTTTGAGCAGGAAAGCAACTTTCTGTGAAATTAACTATAATTTCTGTTAAATTAACTATGCGTAGTTACACCTCAGTTCGCGGAATCGGCTGCTGGATTTGTACATTAAGCTTGCCCCCTGTTCCATCTCAACTCAGGTGAAGTTCGTCATGGACGAGGAGACCACACTCTCGGACCTGCTGGCCCTCAACCTGCACAACTTTGAGGACGAGGTGCGCAACATCGTGGACAAAGCCGTCAAGGAGATGAGCATGGAGAAGGTGCTGAAGGAGCTGGACGCCACCTGGTCCACCATGGAGTTTGAGTACGACAAGCACCCGCGGACGGGTATCCCTGCGCTGCGCTCCAGCGAGGAGCTAATCGAGACCCTGGAAGACAATCAGGTAAGCAAACACCTCAAAAGTTTCGGGAACGTTCCTTGTTCCTAGTGGAATGCCCCTCTCAGAATCGCCTAAAGTTCCGTGGGTAATTTAGCATGTTCTAAACAGGAATGGGTAGTTCTGGCTCAAGCCATTAATTTTTTTTACCAGTAGGAAAAACAGATGCATCCTGTTCCATTAAGAAGTGTTCTTATTGGAAAGTTCTATAGCATTCTGATTTCTGAGAGGCTTCCGAAAGAGGCGGAGCCAGTGACTATTGAGCCTATTTCTTACTTTGTTTATGGTTTAGAGTCCTGGTGTATTCAGGGAAGGACTTGTCAGGAGGTTTTATACGGCCAAATTGAAATTTTGGAAATCCAAGACATCTTTGCCAGGTTTATGCATGGCATGAGGGAGTGTTATTCGCTCTTTGCACACTGTTGCCATAGGCTTGCAGAGCCTTGAACTGGCAGCTTGTACAATCGTGTCAGAATGGCTTTGTCCAATCGCATGGTATAAGCACTAGCGCAACACAGGCAAAATTATATGAGCAACATACAAGGGAATCACTGAACCGGCTGTATTTATTGTGTAAAGCCGGGAAATAGAGGCTCTGCGTGCCTATGGTGGCAGTGTGCAAAGAGCGAATGGTTTAGATCCCTGTTGACCATCACCAAGACCAACACATGACCTCCAGTCTGCATTCAAGTCACATACTCTGTCCTTGGGTTTTGTTCACCCTGTTGGTCGTAGTCTGGTGTCTGGTGTGCAGTCTTGTGACAGTCTCGCTGGCATGCGGTAGTCGATAACACGGATGACCCTTCTATCCACAGGTGCAACTCCAGAACTTGATGACCTCCAAGTACATAGCCCACTTCCTGGAGGAGGTGTCCGGCTGGCAGAAGAAGCTGTCCATCGCCGACTCGGTCATCAGCATCTGGTTTGAGGTGCAGCGGACCTGGTCCCACCTGGAGAGCATCTTCATCGGCTCCGAGGACATCCGCAGTCAGCTGCCAGAAGACTCCAAGAGATTTGACGGCATCGATGCTGACTTCAAGGTTGGTCCGCTTCACTCACCTTAATGCAGTGTCTGTCGATACCCTAATTAAGATCTGNAACCAAATGAAAGGAGCTCTACATTTTGTCATTGTTTTTAAAAGCTTTGTAGGAGCTCATTTAAAGAGTAAGTTTATTTATTTGTTATATGTTAAGCAGGTTAAGGCGAAAGACACTTGCGCAGCCGGCCACTGAGCAAAATCATTTCTTTCAGTAAACTACAAAAGAATTTACAATTATTCGTGTGCACCATTCGTTCCAGTTTTTAGAACCCTAAATATTGCTCCTTTAAATAAGATCTGAAGCAATCCTTTCCTGCGAGGGCCAAATTCGGATGCTTTCCCAAGTGCGCCGTGTTGATAGTCTAACCTCCTTGTTTCAGGATCTGATGAACGAAGCTGAGAAGACACCAAATGTTGTGCAGGCTACCAACAAAGAGGGACTCTTTGAGAGACTGGAAGGCCTACAAGCAAAGTAAGACCCGTTCTCAACCTGTCAATTTTGCTGCTTTTTAAGGTGTTACATATTTCTGCTCTTTGGAGAATGATTGGAAATCACAGAGACATATTTGAGGAAGAAATGTACATTCCTCTTTTTGTGATCACTTTCAATTGAATATTTGAAAAGAAAGAAATTATATCTACCTGATGATATCTAACATTAAAATCTTACTGTTACTGTGATGACTATGCTGACCCGAACCTTTTAATTCTTTATAGATCCATCGTTCTGGAAACTAGTGCTGCAGTTTACAATTGGTTTCAGTTTTTTGTCAATCATTGCACAAACTCAATGTATGCTCCTTGGTTATCATGAGTAGGCTGCGCAATCTCTCAGAGATTGTCTGCGAGCAACCCGCTGGGACACTCTACGACCCACGTTTTCTCTGTGCTCATTCCAGGCTGACCATCTGTGAGAAGGCCCTGGCTGAATATCTGGAGACCAAGCGGCTGGCCTTCCCCCGCTTCTACTTTGTGTCCTCCGCCGATCTGCTGGACATCCTGTCCAACGGCAACAACCCTACCCTGGTAAACGCAAAACACTTTGTTGTTGTCTTCTACACAAACTGTAAAAGTGTTGTGAATTGCTGATACAAAATTGATTTCAACTGAAATGCGTGAAGCTAGGACATTAAGAGGGCTTGACTTTGGGCCGGCGACCATTTAGACCCAGTTTGAAAAGGGTCCCCCGGTAAGCTCGCCCTGTTGAAAAAACCGCTTTCATGGCTACCGGCCTGGGATGCTGGACTGGTTGTTGATCTCGAACATCTCCATCCTGGGGTCTATTGTTTGCTAGTACTGGTACATGTAATCTATCCCAGAAAGAACCTGCTTGTGGTTTTTAATCCTTCAGCTCTATGCAATTTTTACACTAATCCGCTTAGACCCCTATTCATCTGTGGAAGCATGGTGGGGGAAGCCTTCCATCAGGGACTTTGAAATGCCAATGTGCAGACAGGCCTGATACCAGCCTGGAGTAGCCTGAATACCAGGCAGGCATTATACAGGGCGGGCTACCGGGAGGCCCTTTTCAAACCAGGTCTAAATGATGGGCGGCCTTTTCCAGTTCTAGCCGGATTCCTCTCAGGGGCAGTGGATGAAAGTAGTTGGATTTAACCTTCAATACCTTCTAACCTTTACTCTTTGTACTAATATGTAACAGACAGTGTTGTATTCGAGTCCATCACTACTCCTTTCACAAGTCGTCATAAGTCCTTTCACGAGGCAAGTCATAAGTAACAGGGTGAAATATGACAAAGGAATGCTTTTCTCACAGCTCATTTGAATAGCTTGTGAATTGGCTTAAGACAGAATGACTTGTGACGGATTCGCAAGGACTTGCAGGGACTTGTAGGGACTTGCAGGGACTTGTAGGGACTTGCAGGGACTTGTAGGGACTTGCAGGGACTTGTAGGGACTTGCATGGACTTGGAGGGACTTGCAGGGACTTGTAGGGACTTGTGATGGACTCGAATACAACACAGGTAACAGGCTGAGTTTTCCAGTCTGGTAATCTTGCTGGGAGGAGAGAGGTACGCCTAGGGTTCCACCTGTTTCATGTCTGACCATGTGCTGTCTGGCAGGTGCAACGCCATCTGGCCAAGCTGTTTGACAACATGGCCAAGCTGAAGTTCCAGCAGGACGACGAAGGCAACAACACCAAGGAGGCACTGGGCATGTACAGCAAGGAAGGGGAGTACGTGGACTTTGATGCGCCCTGCGAGTGCGTCGGCCAGGTAGGCAGTGTTCTTCTGAAGCTCGAATCGGGCAAAACTTTGAGGTTAACCCCTTCGTGCCGGGAGATGGCAAACGCCGCGGCTCAGCGGGAGGATTAGTGCATACCACGCATACATTTTACCCATCATGCACCTGCAGTTTCAATGTGGGCCTGCTGCTAGATAGGGCTTTGCATAGTGGGCATACCGCCGTCCAGCAGTCACGGTCAAAAGAATCTTGGCATGAAGGGGTTAATAAAGTGAGCTTTGACAGAAGTGAAGTTGTTGGTTTTTGAGATTTTAGAAGTTCTGGCTCTCCAGTGGCCGATTTCATGAAACTTTACACAATGGCGTAACGTCATTTACACCACATTTTATTGCGTACGTTGCACAACATATTAAGAGGGATTTTACAAAACTTACGCACTGTGCAAGTCTGTGACTTACGCAACAAATTATGGTGTAAATTACGCAGTCATTTTAGGTGGCGTAAGTTGTGTCGAACAAAGCAAAAATGAACGGTTTGACTAGCTCAGCATGTTTGGTTAAGCCTCATCATTGCTGAACTTAACAAGGCTCATACAAGAAATATATAACTTTGTTGTGGAAGGTAATTGAAAACTTGTTTGGCTGTGAGTGAGCTGCAAGATTTTCTGTCTTTTCGAAATGGCGGGCAGAGTTGATTCAATGACTGTTTGATGACTGTTGTGATATTGGAAAGTAACAGCTGTCGTAAAAGCTGGTATTGTCCGCATTCAAGAAATTTAATATTACTAAAACTTGGCAACTTTTTTGTGAAATCTAACATAAGTATTTTGTGTAGCTACGGCTATTTGTGGCACAAGGCTTACGCTTGGTTCAAAATCACACCACGTTTTGTGTGATCGGCTGCAGGAAAGTTCCAAAAGTGTTCAGAATGTACATTTTGAACAATGGAAACTGTGTCTAATAATGCTATGGAGCAGTGAACATGCTGCTCTGTCAATCCCATGCGAAAGAGCTGAATAATGCTGAATTCTCAGACAGCATTCCGTACATGGTCCTCATGTTTCAAGGATAAGGCCATGAGATCTTGTTTAGTGGGATGTAGGAAACATACATGTGTCCAAGGAACAATGGCACATAATCAGAGCAATATTCCAGGTTAACAACACTGTAGACAACTGCTGATAGTAAAATGCTCTTCACTGCACAGTTCATTCCAGGTTTTGGCTGGAGTTTGTTTCAGTAATAGCTGATAGTTTCAACCACTTTTCAAAGACTGTTTTTGTGGCATAATAGTTTATTTATCCATAGTCATCCAGTCATTCAGCTGGGATTTGTGGCCAAGTCGTTAAGGTCTGTAATTCCAATCGTAGGCTAAGGGGTTTGAATGCATCAGCTGAGCATATAAAGTGGCTTTGGGCAAGCCACTTTACCTCAACGAGCCTCTCTCCGCCCACTCCACCCAGGAGTGTACGTGGGCGCAGGCATTAGCCGGGGAGCAACGTGCGATGGACAGGTACCCCATTCGGATGAATATTCTCAGTCATTTCAGTGAAGTGGAGATAAATGATGAGATGAGAGTCAAGCCAGCTCAAGACAAAACTTAATCCCTCTCAAAATCTCATGGTTGACCATTTTCCTTTGCTGCCTTTTCCGGTAGGTTGAGGTGTGGCTGAACCGTTTGATGGACACCTCCCGTTCCACCGTCCGCAACCTCTTCAACGAGGGCGTCAACACCTACGAGGAGAAGCCGCGAGAGCAGTGGCTGTACGACTTTGCCGCCCAGGTCGCCCTGGCCTCAACCCAGGTCTGGTGGTCCACAGAGGTCAACATCGCCTTCGCCAGGTTGGAGGAAGGCCACGAGAACGCCCTGAAGGAGTACAACAAGAAACAGGTGGGCGCACACCGGACCGGATCCCACAAAATGAGTCTTAAGCCCCTTTGCGCTAATTCTTTTCTAGTAACAAGGAGCAAACTGAGTGCCTTGTTTTGATGTAGCACTCAGTTTGGCATCCCGATGAAGAGGGGCATTCTGCGGGAGCAAGGTTGAGGATTTCTATTGATTTCCATAGTACATTTTCTCGGCCTTTTTTCTTCATTAGATCCAGCAGCTCAACACCCTGATCAACCTCCTGGTCGGCGATCTGTCCAAGGGCGACCGGCAGAAGATCATGACCATCTGTACCATCGATGTGCACGCCCGTGACGTGGTGGCTAAACTTGTCTCCAACAAGGTCCGAATTTTTCCTTAGCCTGTGCATTCAAATCGGGAAACAGCATTCACTCCAGCCTCTCCAAAGCTTACACAATACATCTTCTGGTTTCAGAAGGTTTTAAAGTTGAGTTTGTCAGGGCTCAAACGTGGTGACTTTACATTGGCGCAAAGTCCCAGTGTTGTTTCGGCTCAGAAAATGTGATATTGCAGTGCAAGACTGCTTGATCTCAACAATTTCATGAAGGAAAAATAAATAAATAAATATGCTTGAAGAACTTGTTGATACTTTGTTGACGCGCGTTGACACTTGTTGACGCTAAACAGCATAACCCCCTTTTGATGCATGGCACCCCCGCACAGGTGGTCTTGAGTGCAATAAATGCCATGTCATACATCACCGCAGTTAACAATTGTACACAACACCCATGCTAATCGGTACCGTCCTTTGCACAGATTGAGAACTCCCAAGCTTTCCAGTGGTTGAGCCAGCTTCGCCATCGTTGGGACGATGACCAAAAGCACTGTTTTGCCAACATCTGCGATGCCCAGTTCCGATACTCTTACGAGTACCTGGGCAACACGCCTCGTCTCGTCATTACGCCTCTCACTGACAGGTACGCCTTGAGGATTGTTCAGGCAGAATCATTCCCCAAGTCAAGTCCACGTTCACCATATCACATGGGGGGTTTCATCTCGTATGCATCGCATATCATTTTTCGATACAAGATTCTGACAAAATGCTCGGCAATTTCTTGTTGAAAAGTATGTCAGGCAAGAAAGTCACATTTTGTTTCTAGCTATAAACCCTGTTCATAAGGAAGCCATTTGTAGATCATGTTCCCTGCATCCATGTTGTAAATGGTAAACTGTTGGATAGGGTGGTGCCCGACTACTTTGTAATTGGCTTGGCATTCCAATCCTACCCTCAATTTTTTATAAATGTGGCTTAGCACATTGGTTGCCAACTACAAGTGTCCGGTTCGTAAGTGTGATGTCACTTCAGTTTAAACCACGCCAACTGCACATACACTGCACATAGAGTTGTATGCTTTGATCACCGTTTACATGGATCATGGAACCTGAAGTTAACATGCAACTTCAGCGATCGTCCAATGGGAAGCTGCAAATCATGGCGTGTCCGTCTTTGTGACAAAGTCACTTATGAACCCTCAAGTTTAGAAATTACCTCGTTTTTGATTTGAAATGGCCGACTCTTGTCTGTGTAGATGCTACATCACCTTGACCCAGTCCCTACATCTGATTATGAGCGGGGCACCGGCTGGGCCGGCCGGTACTGGCAAGACCGAGACCACCAAGGATCTGGGCAGAGCCCTGGGCATCATGGTCTATGTCTTCAACTGCTCCGAGCAGATGGACTACAAGGTAAACCTTGTCAGAATTGTCCAAACTTGGGGCCAGTCTTTTGAAAGTTCAGAACAAGCATTTGGAATGGCATAGTGTAGTGTGGTTGATTTGGCCCCTTGCTTACAGAATTGTTTCAATATTTTACATAAATAACTGTATCCCCACCTGTTGCGAAAGGGGTATAGATTAGGCAGAGCAGCAAAGACATTTTCTGACTTTGTTTTCAGCGTGAACCTCTTCCCTCTCCAGGATGTAAATAAATCTCAACCCCTAAAACCGCCGATAACAATTAAAGCTTTGCCAGTCTAATCATTCTTTGTTAGTTTATGAACAGAAATGGTTTAATGCCTCGTTAGATTTTACCACCAACATTTGGAATTGATGGAGTGGTCCTTTGATTTGTGCTGAGGCTCTCTGCTCGAGTCTTACGTGTGATTCCTGGAGAAGTGATGACATTTGTCGTAGTGGTAGGGTTTGGTTTTACCACAGTGCCTACGAGCTGTCTGTCGTCCACACATTCAAGAAATAGTCCTCTGCGTCTTCTTGTCTCTTTGCAGTCTTGCGGCAACATCTACAAGGGTCTGTCTCAGACGGGCGCCTGGGGCTGCTTTGACGAGTTCAATCGCATCTCGGTGGAGGTGCTGTCCGTGGTGGCCGTCCAGGTAGGTCGTCCAAGACAATTTGACCGGACTCAAATTACATCATTTGCTGCTTTATGCAAATTTCAGTGCAAAGTGGACAGTCCAGGGTGACGGTGAATGCTGTACTGAAACTTCAGTTGTTAGCATCGCGAAATTAACTTCACTGCTGTTTTTTGTAAAGTCAGTTGTCTTGTGGACTTGTTAAAATGTCGCTCTACGGTCAAGTCCCTTATTTCTTGGCCACAGCTGATCTGTCAATGGTATACAGTTTTTGCTTCAGGGACCATCTGTAAAAAGTGTTAAAATGATAAACGATAATCCTGCTGCATTTGAATAGGATTCTGTCAACCCTCCTGAAAATGTCCAATTCATTTACCTACTGAGACCAATTCACTTACCCATTGGATCTAATTTACTTTAACCCATTGGATCCAATTCACATACCAATTGGATCCAATTCACTTACCAATTCAATAACCAATTCCCAAACCAATTGCTTTTGCTTGGAATAAATTGGAATCCAATTGCTTTCAATTGGTTTGAATAGTAAATTCAGACCTTTTCTCAGTTGGAGCTTTTCAAACCAATTGACACCATTTGAATGCCAATTCACAATCCAGTTGTAATCAACCGAAGAACCAATTGAAAACATTTCAATACCAATTCAAACAGATTGAGTCCCGTTTGAAAAAAAAAAATTTGATGGGGGAAACAAGCTGAAAGCAAACCAATTGGAACCAGCTGCGTCCCATTTGAAATTCCAATTGATCAAGGAAAACACACAGAGAGAAAGCATACCAGTTGGAACCATTTGATTCCCATTTGAAATTCCAATTGATTGGGGAAAATAAACAGCAAAGAAAAAATGCCAATTGAAACCGATTGCATCCCATTTGAAATCTCCAATTGACGGGGGCAAACAAATGGGAGAGAAAACATACCAACTGAAACCAATTGAGCACCAATTGATTGCCAACTAAATCCAATTAAACAACCAATTGGTTTGCATAGGCCACTTTTAGTAGGGAAAAGTGACATAAATTTAAAGATTCTATCTCCTCTCCGCTCTCTCAGGTCAAGTGTGTACAGGACGCCATCCGAGATAAGAAGTCACGATTCAACTTCCAGGGCACAGAGATCAAGATGGTGCCCACAGTGGGCATCTTCATCACCATGAACCCGGGCTACGCAGGCAGGACCGAGCTGCCTGAGAACCTCAAAGCCCTCTTCAGGTAAAATCGATGACTCCATTCCCCCACCCTATAGGCAAATCCGGGGACAAGATTTAGAAGCCATTACTGCAGGGCCATCCTGTTAACGGGCAGGTGGTCTGTGCGTGTTACATTCCTCTCCAACCAATAAGGGTGTTGTGACTAGCCAAAATGCAGGCGTGCTCAAGTTAAAACCCTCGGGGGAGTGCGATGGCTTGCAGGAATAGCACCTCCTCGTATTTGTCTGTAGGCTAGAGTTTGTAGGGGCTTATTCCTTTGGTGTTGTTCATTTGCACTTAGCCATTGTTCTGAATATCGTGAAAAATTCTTGTAAGTCTTGTATTTTGGGATGCCTTACTGTAAATGCAGGCACAAACATTGTGCAAAGAATTGCCCTGATGAGCTATCAAGTCGAGCAGAACGGTGAGAAGACTTTTGATGCAGTTGTCCCTGAGCAGGCTACTTTATCATTGATTGCCTTTCCGTGAGGAATTTTAGGGCATACTTTGCACTGACTTTTGCTTGTTGTTTCAAATTTCTGTGCAGTTTATTTCTCTAGACATAATGATAGTGATGATGTAGTCAGAAGGAGTGATAGTAGTGTAGTGCTTTAGGTGAATAGTGGCAGTCATGCAGCTATCACTGTGTTTGTCTCGGCTGTTGTCACGCAGACCCTGTGCCATGGTGGTGCCTGACTTTGAGCTGATCTGCGAGATCATGTTGGTGTCGGAGGGCTTCCAAGAGGCCCGGCTGCTTGCCCGCAAGTTCATCACCCTGTACACGCTGTGCAAAGAGCTGCTCTCCAAACAAGTAAGATCGAGGGCCTGTTTATTTCACATGGATCAGGATCTCGATCAGCGATCCCAATACATGTTTGCTCCATCCATCAGGTGGGTTCTGGCGTCAGTGAACCAGTGATGGATTGCTGCTGGAGATTTTGGTCCATGTGAAAACATGCCCTGAGTTTTCACTCACTCCATTTGGGGGAGGTATTGAGACTCCTGTCAAACAGAAGAATTCAGTGTCAGGCACGAAACTAGGATCTCCAAGTTTGGCTTCTAAAAATCCTTTGAGTTCTAATCTGGGTTCTCTGTTCTGTGATGCTGTCAGATATTTTCAGAATTTCCGTATGATATCTTTGGAAAATTAGACACATTTTTTTTATCTTGCCGATTTTATCTGAATGTATTGCTGAATGTATCTTGAATTGTCAACAATTCTTAAGGCAGTAATAGGCAGAAATGAAATGGCATTACAGGCTGCAGATAACCAACGTATTAAATCCTTTTTAAATAACAAAAGTTAATATTGTTAGGGGTTTTTTTTGCAAAGATGCATCTGAAGTTGAAGTTCTGTACTACGATGCAGAGCTTGTAGAAAAATGGAACCAGTTTTCTCTTCCTTCAGTTGACAGTTGAACTAAAGTTTTAAATATTCAAATAGTTTGCTTGATTGAGCAGATGTTGTGGGCTTCAGTATTGCAGCCAGAGGAAAGTGTTTTCACAAGTAGGCATGAAACTTTTACGAGCGCCCATCTCCACTGAACTTCTGTTGTGTCTTTACTCAGGATCACTACGATTGGGGTCTGCGTGCTATCAAGTCGGTTCTTGTGGTGGCAGGCTCCCTCAAGCGCGGCGACAAGGAGCGGCCCGAGGACCAGGTGCTCATGCGGGCCCTGCGCGACTTCAACATCCCCAAGATCGTCACCGACGACATGCCGGTCTTCATGGGCCTGATCGGTGACCTGTTCCCGGCCCTGGACGTGCCCCGCAAGCGTCAGCTCGACTTCGAGAAGCTGGTCAAGAAGTCCACCGTGGAGCTGAAGTTGCAGGCCGAGGACAACTTCATCCTCAAGGTGGTGCAGCTGGAAGAACTGCTCGCCGTCCGGCACTCGGTGTTCGTCATCGGAAACGCCGGCACAGGGAAGAGCAAGGTAAGAGACGACACGTTAACCATGTGAAGACACTTCAAAAGGATGGCCAGATGCTTACATGAGCATCTACCATGAGAAGTTTGCATTACACTGAGCCACCTGCAGGTAGACAGGTGGGGGAAATTTGACAACTGCACAGCACCTGATATGCCTTTTCCACCGAGATTCGGTAGTTTTAATGCTCTCTGGTTCTGCACAATTTTTGTTCTTGAAAAGCGGTGAGTGTGTTGCGGAGATTTCAAAATGTGACTGAAAGCAATCAAGAATGGATGTTTATCAATCTCCTTGGTGTCCTGTCTGACATTATTTCATTTGGTTTTGGTTGCATTTTGAGGATTTTTGGTGCCTGTTTTTTTATGCTCCAGTGAATTTGCACATTTAACAAGCAGATGACGGTGATACCGTGTAAGTCAGAAGCCTCAATGCTACCGCTACGTCTGCACTGAAATTGGCCTGATTGGGGGATATTCTGCACTGAACTTGGCCTGATTGGGGGATATTCTGCTGTTGTAAATTTTGTTTCAAACATTTCTCCTGCGGGGGTGTTCTCGCCCATTGTCAATCAAAAACTGATTGATTGATTGATTGATTGATTGAAAGATATCTTGTAAGTTGAAAGTGCATTAACCCCTTCAAGGCGGGATTATTTTGACGGCGACTGCTGGGCTTTGGTATGCCCTGAATGGAGGGCTTTGTCCAGCAGCAGGTCCCATTGAACCAGCAGCTGCATGGTGAATAGACTGTATGTGTGGTATGCACTAATCCTCACACAGTGGTGCGGTAGTAGCAGTCCTCCGTAGCGAAGGGGTTAATCTTAGTACGTTTTAATGCAGTCTTCTCGTTGCTCTGCAGAGATGTATTTCCACGTCTCAGGGCAGGAACTTTGCTCCTGAAAGGGCAAGGCAATTTCTCCTTCCCAACGGGCACTTGTTTTAGAAAAATCGGCTTATCTCTGGGAACATTTCAGTGGGCATTGAGGCAAAGACCAGGGGCATCAAGGTAATTGCCTCCGATGCCTCCATGAAGTTCCTGTCCTGTTTAATGGGTTTGCAATTGAGGGATATTGTTGGAGACACTTGATGTGTCTGTCTTCCATTTGCAGGTACTGAAGGTGCTGAATCGTACCTACTACAACATGAAACAGAAACCAGTCATGCAGATCCTGAACCCCAAAGCCGTGACCAACGACGAGCTCTTTGGCATCATCAACCCAGCCACTCGGGAGTGGAAAGACGGTGAGTTGGTAATTGCAAGTCTGTTTGGGTGGTGGCCATCTTGGTCTGGTATCTGGACTGCAGTGCATATAACTTTGGTCGGAGGTTGTCATCACACTGGTAGTATCGGATCTCTTGTATGTATAAATCTGTTTGTAGCTTGGGGAGTCTTTCGAGATATCGAGATCATCTACATTTTCAACTTTTGATCTTCAGTTTTTTATGAGTTTAGCCTGCTGAGTTGAAACCCTATTGAGTCAATGGCCGTAATCACAGTGGATGGTGCTCAGTGGATCAAAGCATTCCTTGAAGGGGAAACTCACTTTCATTCAACCAAGACATGCCTCCCTCTTCCTGCAGGCCTGTTTTCCGTGATCATGCGTGACCTGAGTAACCTCACCCACGATTACAACAAGTGGATTGTTCTGGACGGTGACATAGATCCAATGTGGATTGAGTCGCTCAACACCGTTATGGACGACAATAAGGTAATTGACTAACCATCAAAGCCACAAAAGACCCAAAAATAGGTTTGAGTGGCCCTGTTTGTCCCAAAAGATCCAGAATGCAGACGACCGGTTTTGATCACAACGTGCCCCTCCCAAGATGAAATATTCTCGAAGTTTCAGATGAACACCAAACTGCAAACAGCATTAGAGAAATCATCATTTTCATTATTGGTATAAGGCTTCGGGAAAGCAGTCGCTTTTATCTCGGTTAGCTGCAAAACTACGCCGAGTTCTCTGGAGAAATTTATTTGAACACTGGCAGTGTTGTAGTCAAGGCCACAACCTCTGAGGCCGAGGCCAGGACCGAGGCATTGTCCTCAAAGGCCGAGGCCATAAAAATTGGCCTTGAGGCCGGCCTAGAGGCCTCCAACACTGAACACTGGTGTTAAAGTACCTGCTGCACAACATTTCACCGTCAATTTTTGGGTATATAATCGTGCTCATCCGTCTCTCCAACCTATTAGAATCATACGTTCCAACTGTTTAACTGGCAAGAAGGAATGGACCTTTTTTGTCAAGCAAATTAAAGAGATCCCACATATCAGTTCTGGGATTTTCGATATGATTTTTCATAGCCTCAAATCCAAAAAGACATTGTGATTTTTCTGTGGTCCCTTTAAGGCCATAACAAGTTCATTACAAGTCATTCAGTCAAGTGAACTGCGGCAAAAGCCTTTTTTGTCATTGTTCACCCTGTTATTTATGACTGGCCTTGTGAAGGGACTTGTCACTGGACTTGTGAAGGGACTTGTGACTGGCCTTGTAAAGGGACTTCTGACTGGACTTGTAAAGGGACTTGTCACTGGACTTGTGAAGGGACTTGTCACTGGACTTGTGAAGGGACTTGTGACTGGCCTTGTGAAGGGACT